CTAGAAATTCTTAACTGATCTGGAAGTTGTTCCAGACATAGATCAGTCATAGATACCTAGAAAGTTTCAAGATTGGAGACATATTCTACCTGCTTTAGGACAAGTGAGAGATTGTTGAGAATGATGTCCTAGAAACATAAGATGTAATAGGAAATTTATTATTTATTTAATAAAAGAGTTTATTCATCATTTTATGTGCATGTATTTATGAATATTTTATGAATATCAAATCAAAATTCCGTGATTATTTATGTAACCTTAAACATAATATATAAGTGTTATATACGAGAGGATAATGTTTAACGATAATAATCAAAAAGCAATGTTCATAATGAATTTAATTAAAGTTCGGAATCTTTAATTAAAACATTATTAATACATGTCATTCCCATTTAGAATGGAACAGTGTTATCCGCACTGTTAATATGGTGAGATATTGAATGAGTGTATTTCACATAATGAGATTATGTGGAACAGGGACACAGACACAATATGAATTTCTAATAATTTCCGTTAAGCATAGAAATTCTAATTGAGTCTACCGATGGTCATATATAGAATGATCTTAATCATGAGTTCTTAACAAACTCCTATTTATGGATTTATGTATTTTGATTTACTCGGTACGGATTCTGAGACCCAGAATCCTATTCCTTGTATTTTGGAGACATGATGAAATAGGTAGCCGGGAATGTTATTATACGAGATGGAATCCATTCCTTCTTGAGAAAGAAGTAGATAAATAATTCTCTTGAGTGTTGATTCAGTACTTGGATTAGTAAGAGCACTCTGGTTCATGAATGTGTCTTATGAATCACAATCCATTAGAGAATCAATGATACTCGAGGATGCAGATATAATTAGAGAGGTTAACGGATTCTACCTGACTCTAATTATGAATTATTTATGGAAGATTGATCTATATGCAATGACTATATCAAATGGACACTTCACAGTTTAGAAGTAATTAATGTCTACAATTTCGAGAGTGTAATTCCAAGTTTATAGTGGAGTAACTATTGGAATTAATAGAATTAATTAATTAATTAAAGTGTTTAATTAATTATTAATTTTATTGGAGCTCGGGATTATAGGTCCATTAGTCCCCGCATCGTCCTTGTAATTCTATGAGACACAAAGGACAAAATGGGAATTTTAAAATTATGGAATTCTAAAATTAAATACTCAAAAATTAATTAATTGAGAATTAATTATTATTTAAATAATGTGATTATTTAAATTTGAGTTTGAATTGTGAACATAATTTAATTTAAGTTTGACTTAAATTCGAATTTGAATTTGAATTAAAATTGGACAGCAGGATAATGGATGATTTTCTCTTCCTTCCCTATCTAGTATTTGCACCACACACAAAGGATGGAAACCCTAGGGTGGCCGGCCACTTAAGGGATAAGGTGTAGGAGATTTCTTTTTATTCCAAATTCAAATAGGAGATAGAGATTTGATTCCTTTTTGAAGTTTGACTTCTACTCTTTAAATATGAGAATGATAAAAAATTGTGAAAACAATTTTTGAAACATAATTTCTGCCCTAATAGTGAGTGTGGCCGAATTTCTCAAAAGGAAAAGAGAAGGAAAATTTTTTCTCCCAAAAAATTCCACATCGTGCATGCGTTGGTGTTTGTGGAAAATTTGAGTGTTTATTCAAACTTGTTTTGTCTCACGTGTGCCCACACACACGTCTACGTGGAATCAATGAATTGACGTGGAAGACTTTGGTTTTCTAAACACAAAGATTGGAGCAAGGATTGTTCGTGGTCAAAGAACTCAAGTTATCATCTGAGTCGGCCTCCAGGGATTTTTTCTAATTGAGTTCTTGACATATAAATTAATGCGATTAATTTATTCGTGCATAAATTAATATAATCTATAGAGTATCTCAAAAGTTTTATGAAATTTTTGTTATACACGATCCGCCTCCCCGCCACGCTTCCGCATCCGAATTTGATTCGGTTTCCAACAGTTTTATCATGTCTAATTTCCTCCATAACCCACGTTATCTCAATTCCCTTATAGATCCAAGACCACTCCAAGTGGGCCAGGGATCTAATTGGGGCCCTTGTCACATTTCTTGGCCTACCAAACCGCGGCTCACATAGAAGTCTCCGAAACATGGCTTGGGCCCACATGCCATACCTGGAGTTGTATTTATTAGATCTGGACTGGGCCGTTACCTTGTAGAATTTTGGGTATCAACAACGGTCTCAATCCCCTTATGCACTCGGCTCTCATACCATACGGGAGAGACCAATGAGGCTCGGGCGTCGAGGGCTAATTGACGTGGTAGGTATGGAACCACGTGTGGCATAATCATTGTCCGACGTGTCAATGTGAATTTTCCCACACAACACGTACTAAAACTCATGAGGACCTGTATACACAAAGAAAGAAAGTCAAAAACTTGTGAAAGAAGAATCCTATTGAGTTCATCATGAATTCATATTCCCAGTCCTATCAGGTTTTGTTCTTTTTTCCTATTTGAATTTACTAATATGTTGTGCTTATTAATCGGATAAAAAAAATAAATAAAAGAATAGTTATCCTGAGACTTGCGCGTTTTTATGAAAAAATAGTAATTAATAAATTTTACACGCGTACATGTTCATTTGTATATTGAATTATATGCGAATTAAAATTTTGAATAGTTTACTTTTTAAAAAAATATTGAAAGGTTTTTATTACTTCAATAAGGATAAATTAGAGAAAAATACTTATGAAAAAATAGTAATTAAGAGGGATGCTTGAAAAAACGCTTAATTAGGGACACATTTAAGAAAATATTTTTAATAGGTCATTTCTTTTAGGTTCACTTATGATAGAATAAAGATTATAGAAAAAATATTCTAGAAGGGATAAATTTGGGGGGAGGGGGAAAGAAAACAAGAGTAAATTAATTAAGAAAAAAAAATTAATTAGGAAAATTAGTAAGTATAAGATTTTACAGGAAAAGACCACAAGAACAATCTAAAAAACTTATTTAGATTGGAATTAGTGGTTTAAAAGTTTTTGTTAATAAATGGGGGCATATATGAAAATAATTGAAAACTTATAGGTAAAAATTGAAAAACTAAAAATTTAAGGAGGGCATATAAACACCCGGCCCGGGGCCTCTCCTCCGTCCGCTGTTGCCGAATTTACCCCTTAAATCCATTTTCGTGACAATTCCTACGCTTCCCACCCTACGAGCAAATGGTATCCATGGAAAGCCGGTGTGCCTTTCATATCCATGGCCCTCTGTCCCTAGTTGTTTGATAAATATCTCTAAAAATAAATTACTCTTATTCAAGGAGATAAATTATACATATGAAAAATTACTAAGCATTTTCATCATTTTAAGCATTTTGATAATTATTAAAATATATAATTAAAATTTAGCATAAGGTCTTTATTAAAGATTTTTAATTTTTAAATAAATGGTAAAAATAAAATATTTTCTTTAATTTGATATGAAAGAAATAAGAAAACTAAAAACAACCTCTAACTTGTGCTTATGCTATTTACTTTGGGTAATGGAAGCTCAAGATCGAAGATAAGGCTAGAATAGTTCACCGAATCCAAATCCAATTAGTGCATAAGATCTGACATGAAGCGAGACTATGCTGATCGGTTAAGTTTCGGATTTTACAAGACCTTATAATTTATTTTATGAGCTGAATTAATACGCTTGCAAACAATTTTTGTGGCACCATTTGTACCTAAGGGTATAAATTGGAACAAGAAAATAATACGTTATAATAGTTATCCACAAGGCTAGTTTTAAATAGTCACACTGGGTGATACAACATAGATTTGTCGGGTAACACGTAAAAGTGATTTTGCAATAGAATTTCTATTTAAGGGATAATTTCAAAAAAAAAAAAAAAAAAAGAATACAATATAACAATTAACATTAATTCAAGATCAACAATATCTACTTATGGGTTTATAATAAAAAAGATCAACATACTTTACTTGTGGCACATTATTACGAAGAAAAGGGCCAAAGAGAGAAGAAGATGAAGACTGTGAAGAAGTCGTTAATTTGGTTTAATTCCCAATTTGATCAAAAGGACTAGAATGCCCTTCTTAGGATGTAAAAACTGTTAAAAATTCAACACCATTTTCAATTGGACATGCTATGCAACGGTTTCAAAATTCTAAGGGTCAATTGCCACAATTTTTAGATCAAAGACCAATCCACCAAACACGTTAAGTTCAAGGGGGTCTCAAAAAAGCAAAATAATAATAATAATAATAATAAAAATAATAATAATAATAATAATAATAATAATAATAATTGTATTTTAGATGTTCTCAAGATCAGGATTCATACTTTTGGGTCAAAAGTTGATTTTGACCCTTGAATTGATAAGGCTACAATTGCATATTATACATGATCTTATAACAAAAATTGAAAAAGCCTAAATGTTTAAAAAGAAACTAAAGAAAAACAAATCATAAAAATTGAATTTTCAAGCTATGTTGAAAAAGGTAATTTGTCAATTATTGTTTCGTTACAAGGTCATTTATAAATTAGAAAGAGTAAATTCGTCATTCAAATGTCAAAACAAGTTATTGACCTAAAAAAGGTACAAACTTGTTATGGATAATAAATTCGGAGGTTTAGTGTGGGAACAACCAAAATACATGGGTACTTTTGTTCAATTCTTTGTGTATATGATTTTCTTTGCTACGAGATACTTTTTTAAGGAAACTTTCTATGCCTACAATCGGTCATAGGAGGACAACCTTTATGAATATGATTTTCTTTTTCCCAAGTCAGAGATCGTATTGGTTTCGGAAATCAGCACTAGAATCATCAATGTCTGTTTTAGAACAACCAATTGTAGATTTCCCAAAGCATGACTCTTGAAATTATTCAAAAAATAATAAAGATAATAATAATAGTACCTATAATGATCAGCTACCAGGAAAATGAGTTTGAATACAGATAAAAGCCCATGGAATTGAACCAAATATGCAACAAATCCACCAAGCTTTTGCCATTAATCAATGAGAATGATACCTAAAACAAAACAAAATCAAACATCCCCATTACGAACACAACAACTTCACCGCCTTTCTGGGTCTAGTCAACCACTCCTTTGTGTGCAAATCTCTCACTATAAAAGGAGAAACATCTATTACCCCGTCTACATTCAACTCAACATTCAATTCTCACAACCCAGCCCAAGGCATTCAAAAAAATAATAATAAAATAAAAACAAAAAAACAAGAGGAAATCATAAATAAAGCATTTTTCCAAGATGTTCAACAAGCCACTGCCTTCTATTCTCCTTGCATTAGTACTAATTGTAAACGTTCAGAGGGCAATTTTTGTGGCTGCAGTTGGCCCGGGCAAGCCAGTTCTCGAAATGTACATGCATGACATTCTTGGGGGCAGTAGCCCCACGGCAAGGCCAGTCACCGGCCTGTTGGGCAACATCTACAGTAGCCAAGTGCCCTTTGCCAAGCCGATAGGGTTCCGCACCCCGGATAGCGGTGTGGCCATCCCCAATGCCAATGGAGCCATCCCGACCGTCAATGGGGTCACTGGTCTCCCGCTGGGAACTGGGTTGTCAGGCACGTCTTTTGCAGGGAATGTTGACACCCAAAAAAGCAACATCCAGACACAACTAGCAGCCGATGGGTTGGGACTAGGCTTTGGAACTATAACCGTTATTGATGACATACTGACCACAAGTCCGGATTTGGGGTCACAGAGTCTCGGCAAGGCTCAGGGAATCTACATCGCAAGCTCGGGAGATGGAGCAAAACAGCTCATGGCTTTCACTGCTATGATGGAAGGTGGGGAGTTCAATGATAATCTCAATTTCTTTGGGGTCTACACAATTGGGAGTACAATGTCACAGTTGTCTGTAACTGGTGGGACTGGAAAGTTCAAGAATGCTTACGGGATTGCTGAGCTCCGGCCTCTCATACCTCCGGGCCAAATCGCAACAGACGGTGCAGAAACTTTGCTCAGAATCACTGTGCATCTTAAGTACTGAAGAGCTTGTTGTGAGGTAACAGTTGAGAGTTTGTTTGTGTAGATGTGAAAGGAAGTGCTCAGTGTGCTTTGTCAATGTATTATTACCACCATGGGTTATCTCCCAGTCTTGTTTCCTGTCATGATATTTGAAGTCTTATGTTCTATTTAAAAGTTAATCATGTTACATATGAAATGCACAGATTTCCATTTGTTTTCAACCTGATTAAAAAAAAAAAAAAAAAAATCAATCAATTAAGTATCTGTAGGACCATTTCTTTCTTGTTCACCCCTCTTCCTCCTCCCCCCATTTTCCCTACCACCAAACGAGCTCTAAATTTTATGCCTACAAGAGACAGTGTTCCACTGCTTTAAGATTGATTATCAATTATCTACAGGAAGAGAAAGATATTTATTAATCCGACCAAAGGTCTATTCCCAAAGACACGCAGCTATTGCATATAAAAGAAAAGTATACAAAACAAGGATGTAACAAAAGAATCACAAGTTAAGACTTCACATGATCATGTAAAAAAGTCAAAAACAGATAGAAGGGTTGTGTACTACTGGTTAGGAAATTGACAACTAAAATTTGGCAGCTTCCAGATTCTCTGATATACCAAATATTTAATTAAGGTCCCTTTTTTTCAGATTCACAGGAATCTCTGGGAGCATACAAATGTGAAAGGTAAGTCTATCTAATTTGGATCCACAACAATGAAAAAAATTTTGTGCGCGACCATAAGTCAAATGCACAAGAAAACAAAACTCAGATAGAGTATTAAGAAACATACTGGCTTGTAATTTCAATACAGTGTATAACTTATTCAAAAAGTTTACAGCTAAAATGCACTATGCACTGTGGGCAAAGAACTGAGATTATTCCTCATGTATATCCATTATTTCTGTAACTTGCTCATCATGGAAAATCCGTATAGAAAAATCTAGTAAAGGTTGATCACGAATGTGACATACCCCAAATGAAGAAAGCCTCATTTCTCATCACAAAAGCCGGTGATCTTCACCCGTGAAGTAACAGCATCTTCATCAAGTCCATGAAGTGAATCAATCAAGTGCATTCTCAAAGTGGCTGGACCATTGGCCATGTTCATCCCAATCTCACTGGCGATCCCAAACACCGAAAGCGCTGCAGCCGTGGCTTCCAAGGCGCGAGACTGGTCCACTGCAATGAAGGCTGCAATAAGGGCAGTAACGGAGCACCCTGTGGCTGTAATCCTCTGCAACATGGCCACGCCATTGTGAGCTCCAACAACTCGCTTCCCGTCAGTGATGATGTCAACAGCTCCAGATACAGCGACTATAGCTCCGGTAGCTTGAGCCAATGCCTTTGCTGATTTCACTGCATCTGTTGATTCGTGCGAGCTATCTACACCCTTGAAAACAAAATCACTTCAGAAACAGACCTAATGATGGAGAATTTAAAATAACTAAAAGGCAGTAAACTATTGACTTGGTCCATATAATTGGGTATCATAAAGTGTTAGGAACCTGATAGTTAGTAGTTGTTTTTTAGTAGTCTTTTAGTAGTATATGGAGGTTTTTAGGGCAGAAAAGAAAGTATATTTCATTGATTAATTCCTGTACAAGGATTACAGTATTTATAGGAAAACTATCCTATAGGAATGGGAAAGTATATCCCACGGAAAAAGGAAACTAAATCCCTAGAATAAATGAGATCCGTATCTCAAGAAATCTCTTTAAAAATTGAAAAGATAAACTACTTTCCTAATTTATCTCTAAGCCCCTATTAACTGGATTGGTACACATCCGGTCCATAACTTTAGCCTAATTTCCTGATTTCTACAGTATAAATAAGGGTCTAGTGGCTAATGAAGGGGGATGATCAGATTTGTAGAGAGGGTCTAGTGCTGTGCACTATCTTGGAGGTCGGGGATCCTCGAAACCGCCCATTTATCCTGTAATTTTCCATTTTTGGTGTTGTTAATGAATCTCAGATTTTCAAGTTCCTAACAATGGTATCAGAGTATCTACGATCCATTGAGCTCTTTGAGTTGAGAGAGAAACTTAGGGCTGCTCTAAGAGCTAATCTCAAGGTTTCTGGAGGGAGTATAGGAGAACTCCAGGACCATGTGGGGAAGGTTAGGACCCAGATGGGTGACTTGCAGGCGGCGCTGCGGCTGTTGGAGGCGCAGCCTCGAGTGGCGAGATCGCGCTCATCGGGGTGAAGAGATCCTAGATTGCGATGACCCAGGCGGAGTAGAGGTACCAAATCAGGTCGATCTCGTCGGGAAGCGCCGATGCGTGAAGGCCGAGGTCACGAGTGGGAGATCGGGTACCGGAGACTTAGATCTCTTAGAGGCGCGCGACTACCGGCGAGATCTGGGGCCGGGAGGCCTGGGTCGGCGGCGAGATGAGCTAGTCGACGACAGAATGAGGGCAGAAGGTGGCCGGGGTTCACTAGGAGGGGCGGTGGAGCTTGGTCGGCGACGGGATGTGGAGTGGGAGCCGGAGTTAGAGGAGGAGAGGCTTGCTCCGAGGCTGGGACGGCATGGATACCCTCGGAACAAGGAACCCAGCCCTGATTCGGTCGCGGTTGGGGCTGATTCCGGACCGGTTTGGACTGGGCCTCGCAATTCCGGCGTGAAAAGGGCTTGTTCCGGTGCTACAAAGGAAGATTCCGGCGGAATTGGAGTGGGGTCCATGAATTCCGACGTCCTTAAGGCTGGGTTTTGTGATTTTGACACCATTGGGGCTAGCTCCGGCGAGATGATGGCCAAGACGGGGAATTCCGATGCGAAATCTGGCGATTTTGGGGCTAAATCCCGAAATTCTGTTCAGAAGTGGGTTGGGTCTAGTGTTTTCGGTATGGGCAGAGTCAATTTTGGGGTTGGACCTCGTAATTACAATATTAGTAGGCCTAATTCTGGTGCAATGGCAGTAGGGCCTCAACTTTAACATGTTTGGGGCTGGGAATGGTACGATTGCATATGGGTATGAAGAAATTGGTGAGAGTGAGGCTGAAAGGTTGATGTCCTGGTTGGCTAAGAAGAAAACTCCCTTAGTGAGGATTGATTTGCCAATATTTTTTGTGACCATTGATGAGCTTGCGCAGAGAGTTTCAAATGAATTGATAGATTGTGGTTGCTTTCCAAGATACAAAGAAGATGGAGAAAAAAGTAATTGATTGGCTCCAATTTGAAGACGTGACTTACGAGGACAACATCAATTTGGGGACTCAAATCAAGGAACTAACAAAGCCTTTTGTTCTTAATCATTTAGATGTCATTTTTCAATTTTATTTCTTGATTTTCACCTTGAGGACAAGGTGATTCTTTGGGGCGGAGGTAATGTTAGGAACCTGATAGTTAGTAGTTGTTTTTTAGTAGTATAAATAAGGGTCTAGTGGCTAATGAGGAGGGATGATCAGATTTGTAGAGAGTGTCTAGTGCTGTGCACTATCTTAGAGGTTGGGGATCCTCGAAACTGCCCATTTATCCTGTAATTTTCCATTTTTGGTGTTGTTAATGAAGCTCAGATTTTCGGGTTCCTAACATAAATCTTGAAAGCAATTCATTCGCACAGAAAGCCTGGTAGGAAGTATTTTCTTTAAGAATTGAACAAAAAAAACTCAAGTTTCTGAAAATCATTAAAACGGGACTTTCTTCTGGCTCAAAGACCTATTTTAGATAGGAAAAATTCCATTTCATTTGGGTTTTCTGTTCTGAAATTCCTTATCCCCACTGAGGGAAGTAGCTACCAAACCTCATCTGGATCAGTAAAGATCAACTGGTAATAAGACTCAACAATGTGAGCTCCAAAGGTGACTCTGGAAGGCCCTTTAAAAAGATAATAAAAAGAAATAGCACATTGAAAACAGAAAACTCCAGTTTCGGATTAGGAATCTGGGTAGCCCTTAAAAACACACTTTCAAGAAAACATCAAACTATATGCAAATTACATTCAAAAAGTAGTTTTTTACAGTGAAAAGACGAGAAAACGAAAAATATACTATAATGCATACTGCATACTTATGAACTGTCATACTCTAATCGTCTCTTATGTCAAACTTTGCACACTGATCAATTGTGATATTTAACTTTAGAAAATGGACACTATCCACTGAATACAAAAATTTACAATTGAATTACAAAATATTAGACCTTCTTTTTAATATTATTGATTAAAAAGAAGATCAATGGCCTCATTCCCTTCTCTGTTCTCTCTTTTTATAGCAGAAATTCTGGGATCCACCAATAGAACGGAAATAAAATTCTACTCAAATGACAGACTCAATTTCTTTAATTCCATTAACTAGACCGGAATTGAAATCTCAAAGTGGGGCTATATAGTATCAAACCTGTTAAATCTTTATTCTTTGTGACCATTTTTGGATGTTTGTAATTAAGAAGAACTATGCAAACCATTATTTTATAACCTGTTAGATCTTTGTACACTACTGGATTGTGGCATCATTTTCATGACCAGCAAACATCTCCAACCAAAAACTCTCTCTCTCTCTCTCTCTCTCTCTCTCTCTCCCTCTCTCTCTCTCTACAGACACACACACACACGCACGCACATCCAAGTGCTGCAAAATCAACTCCAAAAGGCAAAATTGATGAAGTAATTACCTTGGCGGGATGAAGAGAAGCATTGGAAAGAGCTATAATCTCAGACCCATTACCCCTAATAACGGTGGGCCTCAGCTCCACAAGCTCCAAGCAAGCCTTCAACCGGAAACCGGAGGCGCCGGCGGCGACGGGGTCGAGAACCCAGGGTTTCCCGGCCTTGGTGGCGACATCGGCCGCGAGCTTCATGGCCGGTAGCCAGGCGGCGGACAGTGTACCCACGTTGAGGCAGAGCGCGTGGGCGTGGGGCGTGAAGTCGGGAATCTCCTCGAGCGTGTGGAGCATGGCCGGCGACGCGCCAGCGGAGAGGAGGGTGTTGGCCATCAAGTCCATCGACACGAAGTTGGTGATGCATTGTACCAGCGGAGACTGGCGGCGCACGGCGGAGAGTAGGGACCACGCCCTTTGGGCCCACCACTCGGGGCTTTTGGGCTCTTTGTTGCCTTCCATTTTCCTTTTCTGCGAAATGATAAATGTAGAGAAGGAGAATTGTAGAGCAAGACTGGAGAAGTAGGGGTATTTTTATTATTTTTTTTTAAGAAAAATATCGTTCTGGTACCTATTATTTTTTTGAAGTTGAATTAGTACTTTAAGAATTTTTTTTTTAATACTCTATGGTTCTTTTTTCAAATGTAAAATGTCATCTGCTCTTCCCAATAATTAAACAGAATAAAATAAATTTTATACTTTAAATATATTAAAAATAAAAAAGTCTAAAATAATTGCTATTTGTTGAGGAAAAGATTAAATTTTTTATTTGTTTAATATATTTAAAAATATTTAAAAATTTACAGAATTTTTTTAAAATTATTTGTTTATGTTTAATCAATGAGAAGGGTGGAAATGTCTTTTTACATCCTAGAAGGGGTTCAATTCAAGGTATAAAAAACGTTCTTCAAACATCAGGGTATTAATTTAAAATTATAAATAATTAAAAAATATTAAAAAATATTTATGTCAAAACACAAGATTCTGAGATGATATTTTCTTTCTTTCTTCGCTCAAAGAGTGAAGTATGGTATGTTGTTAACACTTAGGCCCCGTTCACTTTGCTGATTTGAGTTTAGAATTTGAGTTTTTCTACAGTAAAAAGCTCTCACAAATAATCACATCTAACTTTTTTGCTACAATAAAAAGCTCTCACATAAAATCACATCTCAACTCGAATTCTAAACTCGAATCAGCGAAGTGAACGGGACTTTAATTGGTTTTTTTTTTTTTTAAACCCGAAGGAATACTGGGGTTGGCATTTTCATCCACATGCACGGGGTGCCCACGTGTACCCACAAATAATAAGATGGATATGGAAATATTATATGGGTTAGGGACAGTGTTGGACATTCGGGCGGCGGGCATGCCTGATGCCCGAAAATTTTTGGGCACGGCGGGCAGGCCCGTCTCGCCGCCTAAAAATGATTTTCTTCGGGCATGGGCTCGGGTAGCCCGAAAATGGTAAGCCCCCGACAGCCCGCCGCCGTGGAGACGCCTCCCCCCGCCGTTCGTCGGATTTTTTTTGAATTTTCCGGCAAATACCCGAAGCTGCCCGAATCACCCGAATTTTTTGTGACCGTTGCCCGAATTTTGGTGACCGTTGCCCGAATTTCGCCCCATGCTCGAAAAATGCCCGATTTTTTTTTACCGTTAGCCCGAAATGCCCGAATTTTGAAAAAACAACGGTCTTTTGCCCGAACCCGAACCCGAACCCGAATTTTGCCTGAATTTTTAGACCAAACGGTCAGATTTTTATCCGTTGCCCGAACTGCCCGAATTTTGTCCGACCTGCCCGAAAATTTTGTAGCCGTTGGACCTGAATTTTTGGGGGAAAAATTTTTTTTTTCAACCCAAAAATTTTCCTATAAATACCCCCTCCCCCCAACCATTTTTCTCACCCCAAAACTCTCATTCTCTCTCAATTTCTCTTAATCTCTCTCAATTTCTCTTAATCTCTCTCAAATCTCTCTTAATCTCGCTTAAATCTCTCTCGAATCTCGATCTCTCTTAAGCTCTCTCAAAGCGCTCTCAATCTCTCTTATTTTTCATAATGGCTTCTTCTGGTTATGGTGGTGGTGGTGATATTCCTATTGATGCCCAATTCAACATCGAAGAAGGGCAATTTCCTAATGTTTTTCAATCGCAGGAATCGCAAACTATGGAAAGAGATGCTGATCAAACTGCAAATCCGACCC